AAGGAGGATGTGTAAGTGGTGGGGTTAGCTAGTGGAAACATACTGGAGCACATTAGAAAACATGTTGATTCATGTGATTAGGTCAATGTGATGTGTTTGCTGTTTGTGACTTACCTAAGTTAGGTTCCTGGACCTCCCACAGAGACTGGGCAGATGGTGGCTATCTTCCTTGAAGGTACTTTTTCTTTTTCTTTTTCTTTCTTTTCTCTCTTTTCTCTCTTCTGTCTTCTCTCTCCTCTCCCTCTCCCTCTTCCTCTCCCTCTCTGTCTCTGTCTCGTTTCACTTATTTATTATACTTTAAGTTCTGGGATACATGTGCAGATTGTGCAGGTTTGTTACACAGGTATACACATGCCATGGTGTTGGTTTGCTGCATCTATGGCCCTGTCATCTACATTAGGTATTTCTCCTAATGCTGTCCCTCCCCAATCCACCCACTCCCTCTTATTCCTCTCCTAGCCCCCTATCTCCCAGGCCCCAGTGTGTGATGTTCTCCTCCCTGTGCCTGTGTGTTCTCATTGTTCAGCACCCACTTATGAGTGAGAGCATGCAGTGTTTGGTTTTCTGTTCTTGTGTCAGTTTGCTGAGAATTATGGTTACAAGTTTCATCCATGTCCCTGCAAAGGACATGAACTCATCCTTTTTTATGGCTGCATAGTATTCCATGGTGTATATGTGTTATATTTTCTTTATCCAGTCTATCATTGATGGATATTTGGGTTGGTTCCAAGTCTTTGCTATTGTGAACAGTGCTACAATAAACATATGTGTGCATACAACTTTATAACAGAATTATTTATAATCCTTTGGTTATATACCCAGTAATGGGATTGCTGGGTCAAATGGTATTTCTAGTACTAGATCCTTGAGGAATCACCACACTGTCATCCACAATGGTTGAACTAATTTACACTCCCACTAACAGTGTAAAAGCATTCCTATTTCTCCACATCCTCTCCAGCATCTGTTGTCTCCTGATTTTTTAATGATCACCATTCTAACTGGCATGAGGTGGTAACTCAATGTGGTTTTGATTTGTATTTCTCTAATGACCAGTGATGATGAGCTTTTTTTCTAATGTTCATTGGCTGCATAAATGTCTTCTTTGGAAAAGTGTCTGTTCATATCCTTTGCCCACTTTTTGGTGGTGTTGTTTTTTTCTTGTGAATTTGTTTAAGTTCTCCATAGATTCTGGATATTAGCACTTTGATGGGTAGATTGCAAAAATTTTTTTCCATTCTGTTGGTTGCTGGTTCACCTATTGATAGTTTCTTTTGTTGTGCAGAAGCTTTTACATTTAATTAGATCCCATCTGTCTATTTTGGCTTTTGTTGCCATTACTTTCGGTGTTTTAGTCATAAAGTCCTTGTCCATGTCTGTGTCCTGGATGGTATTGCCTAGGTTTTCCTCTAGAGTTTTTATGGTGTTAGGCCTCATGTTTAAATCATTAATCCAGCTAGAGTTAATTTTTGTATAAGGTGTAAGGAAGGGATCCAGTTTCAGCTTTTCGCATATGGCTAGCCAGTTTTCCCAACACCATTTATTAAATAGGGAATACTTTTCCCATTGCTTGTTTTTGTCAGGTTTGTCAAAAATCAGATGGTTGTAGTTGTGTGGCTTTCCTTCTGAGGCCTCTGTTCTGTTCCATTGGTCTGTATCTCTGTTTTGTGCAAGTACCATGCTGTTTTGATTATAGTAGCCTTGTAATAGTTTGAAGTCAGGTAGTGTAATGCCTCCAGCTTTTTTTTTTTTTTTTTTTTTTTTTTTTTGCTTAGGATAAATGGTTCCAGGTGGTTGGGTTATAAAACTACCGAGAGGATGGGAGAATATTTACATCTCAAAAGGGCAAAGAGAAAATTTACAATTGAAAGTTTTCTAAAGTGAATATTGTGCTAAAAAAAGAGGCCTGTCTAAAGTTTAGGAAAACTGAGGGTAATGTTAAGGCTCTCTTGATGTTGGTTAAGGACCTTAAATTCAATGACAGTATCCTTTAAAACATTTCTTTATACTATTAAAACAATTGAACTCATGGACATCAAGAGTAGAAGGATTGTTACTGGGGCTGGGAAGGATAGTAGGGGGTGGGGGAAGGTAGGAATGGTTAATGGGTACAAAAATAGTTTGAATGAATATGACCTACTATTTGACAGCACAACTGGGTGACTATAGTAAACAGTAACTTCATTGTACATTTAAAAATAACTTAAAAAGTATAATTGGATTTTTTATACCATGAAGGATAAATGCTGCAGGGGATGTATAACCCATTCTCTATGATGTGACTATTATGCATTGCATGCCTGTATCAAAACACCTCACATACTTTATACATATATACACCTACTGTGTACCCACAAAAGTTAAAAATAAAAAAGTTAAATGTCATTACAGAAACAGAAAGGTAAAGGACACATAGGGTCATAGAAGGAAAAGGTCATGGGGAGATAGAGAAAGAAGGAGTGAAGTGTCTACAATCCTAGGAATACCAAAGACCCAACAGTCACTAGAAGCTAAGAATGGCAAAGAATAAATTTTCCCCAAAAACTTCTGGAATATCCAAGGCTGCTAACACTGATATAGCATTTGTAGCCTCCAGAACTATGAGAGAATGAATTTCTGTTTATCTAAGCCTTCTAGTTTGTGGTAATTTGTAAAAGTAGCCCTAAAACAATAGTATATGATCTTTCTAGAAAAGTCTCTCTCTACTGTTCATTTAACTTCAAATGGCAAAATTCTACAACTCATTTAATGCTGACAAAATTGTCTAGTACTCCATTCCTTTTCCTTATAATTGATAATACCAGCTAAACACCACAGCTTTTTCCTCTGAATTCTTTTGACAATGAAGATGATAACAATATTGCAGCTAAAACTTGTTTAGTGTTTGATTTATGTCTAATACCTCTTTATTCCTTGTGAAAACATAATAAAGCAGGTGCTATTATTTTTTCAATATTAAGGATGAAGAAACTGAAGAACAGAGGGATTTAATAACACTAAGTGGTAGAACCAAAATTTGCTTTGAGATTTGCCTAAGTACAGAGCCCATATGCTTAGATATTTTACTATTTCTTTTCTGTTCCTATCCTTGAATGTTTACTTCTCTCATGTCTCGTTATCTTTCATTATATTCTCTATACATTTTTATTTTCTAGCACAAAATTGAACTGAAGTAACTAAGAAATCACAGATATATAAGCATATTCATTTATTTTTCCCATTTTAAAGGTCTTTTAATATTATGTTGTCTACATTTTTTTTCAAACACTTCTTGTTCAAGAAAAAATTTAGGCAATTTGTTTGAATAGTTTTAACCTTAAAATCATTTTAAGATTCTGTTGTATTTATCTATTTACAGCATTTGGCAGATTTCTTTGAGTATCAAAACTGCCCAAATTTCACTGAATGAATTTAGTTAAACCAACTGTCAGCCCCTACATGTCCCCCACTTTTCCAGCTTTCTAGGATCGTATTTTCCTTTAATACAGTACTTTAATAGAATGGCTAAAGGCCCTATTCTGAATGCATTAAGAAGCTCAGTGCTTTTCTGCCACACAATGTTTCTGACTATTGGAGGAACTAAAATGGAGGGCTCCATTTTCCACGCTTGCCTGTCACTTCCATTGTTTCCTTTTGAACTCCTGCCATCAACTCCACTCTCAACGTGTCTCCTGAGATTGCCCTCCATTTGCCATATTGGATACTACTCCACTAAAGCAAGAGTGTTGTATGATAGACTCTTACTGATGACTTGGAAAATAAAGGGTATTAAAGCATATCATAGTTTTCATTTACTCATTTAATAATTCAGCAAATACACAAACATTCATTGACTATCTAGTGCCACTGTGTTGGGTATTGAGGAAACAATGGTAAGAAAATGGGTAAAATCTCCATGATCATGTAGCTCATACTCTAGCAGGAAATCATAAAACTCACACAGCTACATGATAAATGTAAAATTACAAATTGAAGTATAAGGAAAGGAAACGTTCATAGTAGATTGATAGCCATAGTAATGGGCTTGAACTGAGAGCTGAAGTGTGAGTAGGCATTAACCAGTCCCGCAGCAGGGACAGAGAAAGAAGAAAGGCATTAGAGAAAGAAATGACAGCATGTGAAAACAAGCAACAGTGGGCTGGAACAGCATACATTCCAGCAACTGCAAGAAAGCCTCTGCATTAGGGATGCATAGACCCAAGCAAATAAAGGGAAGAAAGATATCTGGAGAAACCAGCCAAAACCACTTTAATAAATGCACAGTCTACTTCGAGCTTTCCTTAAAAATGTAATCTTAATCTTAAAGCTAATGGAAAAATAATGAACAGTTTGATGTAGGAGATTGACATGATCCACTTTGTATTTTGAAAAAAATTCTGGCTACTGTATAGAGACAAGAGTAAAGCAGGTAAGGAATGGTGGATGCAGGAATTCTGAACATGAGGTCTTCGTCCAGGTAAGAGATTATGGTGGCTTGGCCTAGGCAAGTGATGGTGGAGATGAAGCTAATTGGGAAGGTTTGAGAAGACTTTAGTGCAGTGTGGACCAACAGAACGTGATGAAATAAGTGTCAAGAATGTAGAGTACACTGGAATGGAAAAGGCAGAAGCCAGAAAAAAATGAGTTCCAGTCTTAAAAATTGACTAGACTTTTTTGAATATGGAAATTTCTCACTGGCTGCCTCTTTTTAGGCTCTTCCCTAAGACTTTCTCCTGTACGCCCACTTTCCCACCCTCAAAACCACCTTCTGTCACTGTCTTACTACTTTACATATTCGTGGACTCACACAGTTTCTTCATAATAACTTTAATAATACAATAATTATGTGGATAATTTAACACTAAGTCTCCCTTAGTTTGAAGCCCAGCTTTGTTCTGTTAACAATTTCATTGAATTATGCTAGTCTGTCTACCATAATTCCACCCTTAGTAATACGAAGACTTTGGAAATGTATTGAAATCATATCATTTCTCATCATCTCTTAGAGAAAATCTTTATGCTTAGGTTTCCACTAGAACTTCCAGGGTTGTGGAGCTTTGTATGGGGTTGGGCACTTTGATCATCCTATATGTCATGTCCTACCCTCAAAAGTATCACTTTTACTGGCCCAAGATGGCTTACAAAACCTAAAAGCTAACATACTGTAGTCTACACAAAGTAAATACTTCATGTTAACAATGAAGAATCAAAATGCTTCGTAATAAATTATGACTTACAGTTCTATTTCTGGGGAATAGGAATACGTATACCTAATGTTGGATTTGTTCTTGTGCTCTTTTGAAGGAAACATCCTACTGTATCAGAAATTCCCATGGTACCACGTCCAGATTTCTTCACCAAGGCAGATAAAGAGTTGGCAAAAATCATTGACCATCACGTAAGACTGATTTTTTTAACTAGCAGCAAAAGCTTTGTTCTTTAAAGGCACTTTAAATTATAATATGCAGTTCTGAGACTGAAACCTTAATATGTGGAATTTAAAACTAGAGCCACGATTGATTTGCCAAACTGAATCATATCTCACTATGTTATCTATACACCTTAGTGTCTTCATCGGGTTACAGAAAATTTGGCCTTCTGTCATTTGTAAAATACTAGCCTAATCCTGTTTTCTGAATTAGTACTGATTTATTGTGACAAGAGTCTTATATTGAACGCTGAGCACTGATTTCTTCTGCAGTGTAGTTCTAATAACAGAACAGAAATCTTTTGGCTCAATTTTCAGTGACCGTTCTTTACCCTTGACAGATCAGAAAGACTGTTAATCACTTTGTTCTTAGCATAAGTAAAAAAAGCAGTGGCAATACAAGGCCACAGAAGACACTTCAATTCATTGTGCTATATTTAATTGATAATTTTTTTTTACCAAATATCAGTTATTTTATGTCTAGTTCTTTTTAGGAGCAGAATTGAAGTATGAGAGAAAATACTTATTTTTTTTTCTTTAAATAAACTATATAGCGTTTTTAAATAAACTATATAACGTTATGTGCTTAATTTTATTACTAGTAGTTCAATATTATCTATCAGATTGTGATTATATTAATAAGTTTTTCACATTACTTTAAGTAGTAATCTTGTGAAGAGATTATTTTATTTACTGATCACATTAAATAGTTTTTACCACATAGCTAGTAATTAAGCCACTCTAGCAATAGCTATAAGTATTGGGCTTTGAAGACTGACTGATACCTTGAAATCACGAAATAAGAGCAGCAATATCCTATTATTCACTAACAAAATTTTGAGAAACTAATATATGTATAGGCCATCTTCAAAAATTTCAAATGTTTTATAAATTTAAACATCTATATTTTCCTAGTCATTAAGTCAACTAAGTAATGTAGAAGGGATTGTAAGAGATAGCAACTTGCCAACATCACACACACACACACACACACACACACACACACACACACACACACATATACATATATAAATAACCACTTTGGGCTGTCTAGGGCTAAAGAGACAGAGGAAAGTATTATGAATAACAGAGATACAGAGATATCTCCTAAGAGCTGTCCATCCTCTTTTCCTTTTTCTAAGGGTATAAGCATTATCCAAGTAATCACTGCCATGGGCCTGCTTATATTGTAGCTAAAGAAGGATAAAGAAATCCTTTTTGAAAATATGCTTGAAAACTTATAGATCCAAATTGTTTGATGTGTGGCTAGCCTAACGAACTAGTACTTCATAGTATTGATTTTGGAAGGTTTATTGAAGTATCTCTGAATATTATATTTTTTCCATATTCATGTATATACCACTGCTTTTCAGATGGGCATAGCAATAGTGCTTTGTACTTATATTTTACGCTTTGCAAAATGCTCTTACGTTAGTTAATTTAATCCTCAGAACCCTATATAACATTTACCAATAAGAAAAACAAACACTTGTTTACAATTCAGTTACTTGCTCAATGTTTTAAGTAAATGATGGAGTCTATGCACAAAAACAGATTTCCCTACTCTAAATCTAGTTTCCCTTCTACTTTTTCATAGCTGCTCAAGTTCTTGGCTTATAACTCCTAATCAGAATTAGAGATGGGAGGGTGGGATCTCTAATATTGACAAAGAAGAACAAAAGCACATTTCCTTAGCTACAGATATTAATTCTCCTTCTAATCCAACATACTTTTATTGAGGGGTTATCACATGTAGGAAATAGAAAATATACCTCCTTGCTCAGGAGATATTAAGGTACCTTAAACATTGCTAGTATTCCATAGCATGATCACTGAATCACTGAGTGAGTAAGTTGAATAAATCAGTAAATGGTGCCTCCATTTCCCACCAATTTCAAACATATCCATTTTTTTTTTTTTGCATTCTCCTAGCTACCACAACAGACAATAATAATGACAGATAAGGTAAAGAAAATACAATTCTTTACCCAAATTGAACTGTTGTCATGGTCAGCAGAGACAAAAACAAAGTATGCTTTTTCCTAAGCCTAATGAAAAGAAGGAGTTTGACATTATGGTGAATTTCAGCCATTCCAAATTCTAAGAAGGGGGAGAGGCGGAAAAACAGTCTTCTGGACAGTGATGATAAGATGCCCCTTTTTGGCTGCTTTTATATGTATCGATGCTTTTATACATGCTGTTTGTGAAACCAAGAATTCTATTTTACTGGCAGTTCTAAAGAATTAATTCTCTTTTGATTTTTCAGAATTTAAGAAACAAAATCATGAGACCTATTGAAATCTTTCTTTTTTCTTTTTTTTTTCAACTAATGTAACTTTTATTATGAAAAAATTTCAAACAGATACAAATGAAAACAATGGTATAATCACTAACTCACCTCTCCCACATACCAACAACCTGGATTAAATAGATATGCACATTTCATACAGGATAGATTAGTTCTCTTTGTTTACAGATACTGTCATTGTTATACCAACTATAACTTCTACGCTAATAAAATTGATAATTTTCTTAAACAACTAGATTATTTATTATATGAGAAAAATAATGTGTCATAGTTATCATAGAACCTATAGACAAAACCATAGCATGAATTTCAGCCTGTGCCTGAATGTTCTGGACGTTTTGTCTTAAATTTCCATATATTTTATGCAAAACTGGTTCCTGAGAAACCAAACATATGAGTAACAACTGTGTATAAATACAATCTTAAGATAAGTCCAGTTAACTTTTGTATTTCTTGTGTAATTAAAACTTAACTGGGAATAAATAATGGATTTGATACTGTGCTTTTATTTGTCATGTTTACTCTAATATGAATATATTAACATTTTACAAAATTTTACTGTGTTCATCAAAGCTGAGTGACATGCTATGGACTCTGATGCTTAGTTCTGCTTTTTATTATATGAATATCCCATATGACAAATGTTATTTGTGATTCACAGTACTTGTATATATAGTAATCTATAAATTAATTGATAGGTTGCTAATCTCGGACTGATCATTTGTGTATATTCATGACCTGAAGGTGACAAAAACACAGCATTGGCAGTCTTTGGAAAAGACTGAATTGGCAGTCAATATTGGAAAATCCTTAGGAATTTTCAATATTTCATACCAGGAGTCATTCTGCCCCAAATGTTTTACCCAGTGTAAAGTGTTTACTACCTGTTTGCATCATTTCCTCCATCAAATATATTAGAAGTATATATATTTTTTCATGATGATGTTTCACTGATTATTATTACTTACAATACTGTGACTCATTCTTAGGGCTCTTGCCTTCAGATACACTACTATTTACATGACAGCATGGGTTATAAATTGAAAAGCTAAGTGAAAGCAAAATAGAAAAATTATCGTGGCCAATAAGATACACTCTTTAGAGGTGTTTTTATTGGTCTTCTGCATAGTCTGCATTTACCTAATAATTTCATTTTCAGCTTCCTATGGGGAATACTATTAGAGTTTTGGCCTTTCTCTTTAGTTTGTATTTTCTGTATTTTTTCTTTCTGTTTTGCTTTCATTTGGTTCTTCATTGTATAATTCATACTGTCATATAAATACCAATATTGGTGAAGAAAGTAAAACTATTTGGAATGTAGAAATATAAAACCTATAATGTCTTATTTTCAATGTTTTTTTAATCTTTAAATATATTAAGGAAGTTCTATTTTGTGGGACTTACATGCATTCTAATAGGTGACACATATGTTTTACCAGTGAGATAGATAAAAATTTTTTGAGGAATGTCATGGAAAAAACCAAAGAGGATAATTGTATGTAAGAATCTGCATTTTCCGCAGCTAAGCTGATATCCATTTTTTCATGGAAAATCATATGTGGATGACGTTTTCTCTCTGTTAACAGTGGCAGGAAGAGCTGAAGATCCGAAAAGAAGAAGATGCAATATGCAAGGCCCAAGAACTTGAAGATAAGAAGTTAGAAGAGAAAATTCACTTTCAAGAAGTTATGAAGAAAAGAGAAGAGAAACTACATAAGCAAACCAAACCCTATGAGCTTCCTCATAGAAGAGAAGTAGCTTAATTAGAAAAGAAAATGCCACCCCCAAAACTGAGGTCAAAAATACATAGCATGAAAAATACCAAGATAGCTACATAGTAAGAGAACTTTCTTGTAATTAACTTGAGGTATTGTATAGAAGAACTTGTTATCCTGATACAAACTATTTAATAGTTATTTCTTAGTTCTCAATTAATGACCAACTTAATCACACTTGAATGAAGTGATTTCACTAGTCAAAACTTTCCAATACTACATCTAGTATTTTTCTCAATTGACATTTATCTCATTGTACAGCACATGTAATAACTGATTCTCAGAACGCTGATATTCATCAAACAGTTTGATGGAAATTAACTACAAGTTAATTAATAAGTCACCATATAAAAATTGTTTCTTGAAAACAGAATGAACATAAGCTAACACTCCTATAATTACTATTATTCAAATAAAAACATTATGGCATCTTATGTGATTGTCATTTTATAGTCAATTTATTCCAAACCAAACAAACCCTATTTCAGAGATTTAAATACAGAAGGGCCAGTCATTTTAGACTGACTGATCTTTAACCAATGCCAGAGGGGACTCCTGAGAGACAGTGGTTTTACTGTGTTCTGTGAGTTTATAAGAATAAATTTGTATGATCCTAGAAAGTCCAGGAGCAACTGTTGAAGAGATTCATACAAATAGGAGTCATTTTAGAAATGGAACTCACCTCATCTGAAGTTCTGAAACTATGAGTAAGAGTAATCGGGTGGAGTTTTTATGATGTCTTGTATTCCTTTCCTGAAAAATACAAATAATATTCACATCTCAGTTTCACACAGGTGACTTGATGATACTCAAGAGACAAGAACTTTAACAGGGGTGTCAAATTCAAATGACTACCAAGTCAAAAAGATAACATAAATTAGTGAAGCCAGCTAAGGAATACCTATCCCTTCTAAAGAAATTTCCCAGCTGGGCACGGTGGCTCACACCTATAATCCCAGCACTTTGGGAGGCTGAGGCAGGCAGATCATCTGAGGTCAGGAGCTTGAGACCAACCTGACCAACATGGAGAAACCCTGTCTCTACTAAAAAAAGTACAAATTTAGCCGGGCGTGGTAGTGCATGCCTGTAATCTCAGCTACTCAGGAGGCTCAGGCAGGAGAATTGTTTGAACCTGGGAGGTGGAGGTTGTGGTGACCCGAGATCGAGCCACTGCACTCCAGTCTGGGCAACAAGAATGAAACTCTGTCTCAAAAAGAAAAGAAAAGAAATTTCCCACCACTCAGTTACATTCTAAAATGTGTATCAGTATTTTATAATCATCCAGTCTTTCAAGAAGCTTTTAAATGGGACTATTTTTCAAAAGTAGCTAAATACCCAAATGTTGGCAACTAATTTTTTAATAACATATCTTCAAGTTTAGTTTGATACATGGGCCAAAGTATGTGACCTACATTATGTGAATTCAGGTATCAGTCTTCGTTTAAGATGACAATCACATATGGCAGAAAAATCTTGTGTGTAGTTTCCTGTTTTGATTCCCTGTATAGCTAATTCAAACTTATGTTTCTCTTTCCAAACCTTTTGTATTAACCTTGTGTTCTCAAACAGAGACTATGCAGGTTCCTAGAAATACCTTTCAATACACCTTTCCAAATACCTTCATCCATCCATCTTTGCTTTCTTCACTTGTCGAAAAAAAAATAAATCTTTAAAAAACCAGGCTGTCCCCTTTCTCCAAATCTCATCCCTTCCAAAATCTTGTTCCATCAACTATTCACTCTCTCCTCTGAAGTCTTTCCTCATCACTCATTCCTAAATCCATGGAAGTTTCAATTTTCTCCCATTCTTCCATCCAAATTACTCTCTCATTATTGGTTTGTAGCAAGATATAACAACTAAGCTGTAAGTATTAGTAAGGGTACAATGGAGATCTAACTGCTCCTTATAAGAATTTCAACAAATCCTACTGCTTCAGCACCATCTTTATAAAAGAAACCTGATATCTCCAATTTCAGAAACTTTCTAGCATTCTGAGGCATGGTCCTTAAGGCATCCTCACTGCAGACCTAGGTTTATGTTTTCTCTGCTCTGCTTAGCCTATTTCTACTTGTTCATCTTCTTTTTTACTTCCACAATGTTATTAATACTTCCAACGTGCGAATATCTCTTCTTGTGGATTCATGCCTTTTTACAAGTAACCCTTTTTATGTCAGAGTGGTGATTTGGAAGGGAGCTAAACAAATTTTATACACAGATACACGGAGAAAGAAAGAAAAGGGGAGAGAGAGAGATGATTAATCAGAATACACCTTTAATTCTTAAATTATTTTTTAAAATTCTTAACATTTGGCAACATGCATCTCTCATGGTCTTTCTCCTATTTCGCTGATTCTTTCTGCAATATTAGCAAAGACACACTCTAGTTATGCCTTCTGCCAGCTAAGAAACAGTAGGCAAGTTACTGAGCCCATTTTCACTTTTGTTTACTCATTTATAAAATTGACACAATTTATGTAAAGAGTGGTATCAGTTAGAAGCTAATTAGGAAAGAAAACAAACTTGTCAGTCATTTTAACAGAGAATTTAATGTAAGAAATTATCTTCAAAGGTGTTAGAGAACTGAATAAACGGAAAGGGGACATAGCAATAACACAGAAACAATAACTGCAGGAAGCTGCAGCCACATTTGGAGCCACGGAATCAGAGAGAAGAGGTTTGCATTGTGAGACTCTAAGGCATGCAGAAGGCACTTCACACAGCTGAACTCGGACCCCTGATGGGGAGAAATTGCCCAGCTCTTGCTGGTAATTCTGAGGGGGCACAATACAACTAGTTCTGGGAGTGCAGAAAAAAATGAAAACTGTAACAACTTGTATCTTGCTGAAACCACACTATCAGGAAGGGTGGGAAAACTGGAAGAATCAAGTGTTTTCTTCCCTCTCATCCTGAAACTCTTTCTCATGTGCTTCCTGTTTTCTGGCATCACAAAGCAGAGAAAACAAGGGTGGGTTTTGAAATGAAAGACACTAGTTAAATAACTGAACATTGTGTGGCTTAGAACATATCAGACCATACAATAAAAGTTAACTCTCCCTTCTTTTCCTTTGCATCTTAGGCCCTGTTTTCTGCTTATTCTGCAAGATTTCCCAGGGGGGAAAAATGTTTAAAAGAAAGCATCATCTCTTAAGTTGATATAAATGGCTTAAAAATAAACTTTACTAATTTATTTTAATAACTAATCCTTAATTCTTCCAACAAGTTCTTTTAACACAAATTCAATTGAAATTCTTTGTAATTTATGTTTAGTATTCGCTTTGCTTCAAAACTCACAAAGGATTCTATGAGTCACAGACTGGTTTGGGTCCCAGAAAAATTATTTCAGCTACTCTCTTGTTGTTCAGCTTATGATTTCTCAGCCTTAGTTATTTATTTTTCCATTCTTCCCAATGTGAGTTGATAGGAGAAAGACAGAGAAAGAGAAAGATTCTTCATATCTATCTACCTTGCACAGCTTTTAGTCACCTTTAAGTGCCTCTTCTGTTAAAAAGTGTTAACCTATCTCGGGTCTAAATGTCTTCCTATTTAAAACTTATTTTCATGCTGCTTTATCACTTATCCTTATGTTTATTTTGAAAAAATAAACACAAGACTGCCTACATTTATTTAGTATGGATTCTCCATAGATTTCTCTCAGTAACCACCAAAGCAATTTCTCTTTCACACCTGCTGCCTCATTGAGAATACTCATAAAACTTGTTAGGTAGTTTCACTAGAGTATTAGAATACTGGAGTAAATTCTGAGTAACACAAGAATGAACATGATCATTTCTCCCGACATAATTTATTTTTTTAAAAAGGAAAGCAAATGATTTACAGTGGTTTGTGGAGCATAACAAAAAGACATTTAAGGAAGAAAATATGTAAAACAAATATCCTGACTTATGCATTGATAAGTGGGTGTTTGGAGAAAGGGAGCGCACAGAGGTAACAGATGAAAATAACTCACACCAACAGTTTTAGGAAGTCCATAGTGATGTTTAACAATTGTAATTTAAGTAATTGATTCTTGTGTTCCTACCAGTAAAACCTTCCCTGTAACTGTTTACTAGTTAGTTGTTTTCTGAGTGTCCTTTTTCATATTGCTTCTAGTTGAAAACAACAGTTGTATGGTTTTGCTGAACTTGGCTTTCAAATTTCAGTTATCTGATTGGGAATTGCTTTGGGGTCGCTTTCAAACTTTGTCCAACTGCTCGCATACTAAGTGCTCACTTTGGGTCTGCCAGTGATTCTCAATTAAAATCACCATAGGTCTCCTGAAGATTCTTCATTCCGCCTCACATCTTAATTTGCTGAAGTAAAATGAATAAGAACACCCCTATTTGTCTTATTTGTGATTAATTGATGACACTTGTCACCTCCTCTGTGGGCTAAATAATACAAAGGAAGGTAGAGTCATGAAAATCTGTTGTGCCAATGCCTCTGTAGAAAAGACGTGTAGTAACAAATTCAGTCCCCACGGTACTTCTCAACCTCAGGTTGGCCACTGGAGACTAAGTATTTGTAGCCTCCTTGTACTGATTCTAGTTATTTTCTGTGATATACAGAATGCGTTTGGAAACTTATAGCAAAATGCATTTTAAAATATCATCTTCTATAATGTAAATGTATATATCTGTATAGTCTTACAAATTCTGTTGATGACTTGGTTACTTTTCTGCTACACGCATTTTTCATGGTGACATACATTTCAAGGATAATTTGGCTTTAACGTTACTCCTGCTCACTTTCTCCTCCAATCATTTTAGCTAAGGGACCTATTTACATAATACCTAGTACCTTATTTTTTTTCCTGTTTCACTGAAAAGCCAAAATAAAAATAAAATGTCTTTCCAAAACCTTTTTTAGTTGGAGGATCCCTGTGATATCCAACTTTCCAATAAAATTTCCCAAGCTGACTCTATTTCGGAAAGGTGGTGGATCATCTTTTATAAATTAATGAGTAAGGTAAAAGTCAAACATCTCAGAATCACTACTGCAGCTTTTTCATTCATAGACTATTGTCAATCAGTAATGCTTTGAATGTTGCATCAAAACATGAAGAAATAGAAAATCTGGACAAACCAATCTGTTAATCTCTAGCTCCAGATTTTTGCTTGGCTTCCCAATAAAAAACTTCTTAAAAGAAATGACTAGAGGACACATATGGTACAGTTTCTTCCCTAGCATATATTCTCCAACATGATAACTAGGTCCCAAGACTTGTGGCCTTATGGGAAGGTAAGTCTTAAGGAAGAAAAGACTCAACCTATTCCAAGCAGAGACATTGTGGAGGGTGAAAAAAGTTGGTGAGAAAGGTAGATTTAAGGGTGCTTGGTGCCCTCACCCCTTACCTCAGGAGAAGGGGTGTGGTCTAGAAATGTAAATAAGTAAGGAGCCTGAGTCTGACAGGTTAGTCGCATTAGCTCCTGCAAGACTGAGTATCTGTTAAATCACTAGGAGGGATATTGCATGCAAACATTTTCAATGACACATGCAATTGTCACAGTGAGAAGAGAAGCAAAGAAGCAAATGATAGGAGACAAGTCTCTGGTATTAGCACATTCAGACCAAATCGACAGAAATTAGATCTACTTCATTGCACATTATTGCAGAAAGCATACCAGTTCTTCCGTTCTACAGTTAAGGCCAGGGAGGGGTAAGTGAACCTTGGGAAGATTTAAGGACCCAGGCTCCCATCTACTTCCTTTGGCAGGCCAGACCCCTCCCTATAGATCCAAATGGCATATTGGAAA